CTGTATGTTTTTCATAAATAGTTGTTTCCTAGATATTAACACACTTATGAAAAATTGGATAAATAATCATTAACAAAAGATTAAAATCATCAAGAATTATATTAAATATTATTACAAATCTTGTACTATAAAAAATTCTATTAATTTACTAGTATAATTCTACTATAATAACCAAAAATAAATAAATATAATTAAATTATTCCTTTTTGCACGATGTGTATTTTCGAATTTTCCAATTTTTCATGAATGCACATTTAAAGCTTCAGCAGTATAAATTAAAAGAGATGAAAACTTGTTTTTTTTCTTTATCTTTTCAAAGATAATGCCCGAAATACCGATTACTCTCAAGTTTGACATAACGAATGCCTGTAAAGTAGCATTTTATTATACTTGGGACCTCGGTATGACGCCCGAAATTTCGTGCAGAAATGCGTACAACGTAACGATGTCTCAGAAGCAGGGTTATGTGACCAGCGATGATCGATCCACCTGTTTTCTTACCCTGACAACATATCAGAAAGTTACGATAAAGGATCATTGCGTTCTTCTACAGGTTCGCCAGTCGTAGATCTTTCGATTCGTGTAAAATCGAAATTTTGACTGGCGTAAGTTATTGCTTTTTCTTTCTAGATTTCCAATGGCCCCACCTACAAATTTATACTGAAAGGCTTCTCTAAAAGGCCTGCGATCGAATTCAGCTTCAATCGTTATGATTTTGGACCTTGCTATATCCAAGGACGCAACAGAATCTCCTATTTTACGGAGCTACGTGTAACAAACTCTGATGATGCCCCTTTTATGTGAGTCTCTGTAAAAATCTATTTCATACTTTGTCGTGTAATGTATTCAGATATATATTGTATATTTATATACTTATATACTTTTTATATTCTCGTTATCTTACATACAGTGACAAACGAAAGAAAATTTAAAATTGGTATTTATCTGTTTACGTGATATTAGTAACTTCTATACTAGACATTTTTTTTTATCAATATTAGTTACAATCATTCATTCTGGCTTTTATTAAATATTAAAACTATTTTATAAATTATTTTGTATCACTTTCTTCTACCCTGCATACCTTATACCTTTGTATTGTATCTTATTGAATCCAATACAATTAACAATAATTTTTACATGCTTGGAAAATTTAATGTTAACTTCTAATTGATATCACTGGACATAGCCATGAAAATTATACTATTTAAGTTTGAAATTCTCAATTTGTTCCAATATCATTAATAATTTCAATATAGTATAAATTACTTCATTCACCCGTGATTAAACGGTACTCGATGTACAAAGGAAATCAATTCACCGTCTAACATTTCTCTTTAACTTGTCCAATTATCGTGACGTAGAATTGAATGTAAGTTCGAAGAACAACCTCACCTCTCCGTCGATCTGAATCGAATCTCGGAAGCAATGGCGGCCCATTCTACGATCACTATACCGATCGTTTTTCGTCCGTTGAAAGAAACCAAGTACCACGAATGTTTGGTGTTCACAATCAACTCGGCGAACAAGAAGAAGATAACGATCACTGGCGAGGGAATCGGCTATAAAGTGAGTAAATTATCCGCGACGTCGTGCAATTGGTTTGTTAAAACTTCCGCGTGGCGATAAGGGGGCTGTTCATTGAGTTTTTTTCTCGGCCGGCCGGGATCCGGTTCTTACACGGGGTTGGAGTTGACGGGAAGGCGTAACAAAGCAAGTTTCTCGAAGACGAACTCTCGCGAGGAACCAACTAACGTCTCGCCTAGATACACACTTGCTCGAGTTTGCAGCGTCGCTAGAAAATGAAACGTTGAAATTTTCAGAAAGTGATACGACAGCAAGATGTTTCTACCTGTCATTTTTCACTTAAATTAATCGTTAATTAAAATTAGTCGAATAATCTAATCATTTAATTTAATAATTCTTTCGAAGTTTCTCTTTAACCCTTTCGGTACGAGCGTGATACACCCGCTGTATGAGAGCGCGTGTATAAAACGAGAACTGTGCTTAATAAAACAATGTTTCTTCTAACAAATGTCGTTAGTTTTAATATTAGGACATTTATATAAAATTCTGTTAATTATACAAGTAAGACTAGATTATATAAGTACACACAGGTCATCTGATGGATGTCGGATATATTCGGCGCTCGTACCAAAAGAGTTAATATGTGCATATACACAATGTCGCAATTTATTCTATATTATCAGTGTAATAAGAAACAAAATTATGATTTTAATCAGAGTCCCATGTGCCTGTTAAAAGCGTGCATTTTTATCTTTAGTACCCTGCACTGCATCTTATAAATATTCCCCAGGTTCGTCTGGTGAATCCTCGCGACAAATCGATAGATCTCGGCAGCGTTCCCGCTTCCAGAAGCATCGTGAAGAAGGTCCCGGTAATAAACGAAGGTTCGGCACCACTCGAGCTGAAATTTGGTCTAATGAAGTTCCTCAGTGGTTACGACGAGTACCGCGAAAGTCGAGGATACTGCAACTCGATGGAAGGCGCGAGCGAACTGGCTCGAGCATCCATTATGGAGACCAAGCGATCCTGGACCGTGGATGTGAAACTTCAAACTGGAGAACCGAAGCTATCAGACGTTCTGAAGATCGAGCCGTCGTCGAACATCGTTTTGAAACCGAATAAAAGAGTCAACGTGCTGATCACTTTTAAATCTCCATCGAGAATAAGACCGTTCATGGCTAAAGTGGCTTTTCAATCGTCTTCCATGATTCTCCCATTGTTCTTGGTGCGTGGAAATTGCGTAGCAGCGGAGTTCCGCTTGAACAGGAACCATATCTCCTTTGGTAGCGTAATTCAAGGTTGTGCAACAGAATCTAAGATCGTATTAATGAACATTGGAGATTTGGGCTCAAGGTTTGTAATATTAATATTTAATATTATTACTTTCTGTACTTATTTGGCCCTGTTTTGTTTCAATGAAATTTCTAGTAAAAATACTGTAATAGAAAAGATCATTAATAATAATTATTTCATCTCTTTTTTAAAAAATAGAGAAATATAATTGAATGACAAATCTCTCCAATAACACAGCAATAGATACTGTGTTATTGAAACTTATTCCCATCTTTCTGAAGTACTCTGTATGAAATGAAATTAAAAAGCGTCATTCTTTATATATATATATATATATATATATATATATATATATATATATATA